CAATTGGCCGCTATCCGCGCTGGTCTCGATCCGGACAGCGCCGCAAAAGCTGACGGCGGCGACAAATCACCTGGACGATGGGCAGACTACGTCCCTTCCGATGCGCTCCTGGATCACCGCACTCAAGGAGCTCTTGGTGGGCAAAAGATCACCCTGGATTCGCTTTCTGCGCCTGCTAAGGCCGGCCCAATTGCCAGAGACGCGGCACGAAATAGAGGCGAAACCCAGAGCGGACGGAGAAGCCGTCGCTTTGAAGAAGAGGAAGATGATGACTATGAGGAGGATGAAGATGATGACTACAATGATGAAGAGCGCCTCATTCCCACTAAGCGCAAGACCGTGCGGCGATCGCGCAAGCTGGCGCGACGAGCAGCCCAAGCAGGAGAAAGTCTACTGGCGCGCATCTTTCGATACTTTGTCTGGTCATTCGCTTCTAGCTACAGCGCTTCAGCGATCGTCCTTCGCGTCCTGCTCTTCACGCCTTTGCGAATTCTGTTTGGAGCTGCGGCGCATGGAGCTACGGGAACCCTGCGCACGACGGCTTGGGCATCAGACTTGATGCTCTATCGACCTCTCACGACTGCAGCGTCGCCGCTCGTCTACCTTGTACAGGGAATTTTTTTCTTGGTCATTTGGTCACCATATCGACTGATACGTGTCGTCGTCAGAGAGCTCTACCCGGTCTAGTGAGCGCCCACGGATTCTCTATCGCCAGGCGTGGATGAATGCTGACCCATACACGCTCCATCTAACAGTGTCTTTTTAGGTGCCGCATTAGCCTTGGGAACATGCATAGGGCTTGGTGGAGCGGCGGTGCTGTATCTCAGCTCATTCTTTCTGAGCGACACCTCTCCAATGGAATCGAGCTTGAGCGCCAAGGGCAGAGAAGCGCTCAACGAGACGCACAAAGCAGCAAAGCGCCGCGCTTTTGCGTATCAAGACGGTGCTCCTCGAGAAGCCGCATACACATCGGGCGGCGCCTCTTTAAGCAGACGAGGCAAAGGGGAGAGCGTGCTGGAACGGAGTCTGCGAGAGCTCGAGAGGGAGAAGGCCAGGAGAGGGGAAGTATTGGACGCAGACCAGATCTGGGACCGCGAAAGAGCTGCTGCTGCTGCCGAGGCCGAGAGGATGGAAGCCGTGGGAGTCAGTCTGAACGGCGCTCGACGTCGTGGCAGTGCAAGTCACGATGGTCACGTTCCATCACCAGAGAGCGATGAGGATGACGTGGCATTGGACGACGACTACTTTGGTCGTTATCCGGATTCGCATTCGGCGCGCGGAGGTGCTCGACCTGCATCCAATGCATCTGCAGCAACTTCATCCATTTCCCATAGAACGAGTGGTCAGAGCAGCAACAAGGGTAAGGGCAGATCTCTAGACGGATACCAGGACGTGCATGCGTCCAATAACAACACGACGTTAAGGTTGGATACCTCTCCATCGGAGCTGCATTCTCCAGTCAGTCAGACGAAATTGCCTCTCGGAGCGACTTCGCGTGGAGGATGGGGCTATGGAAGAGGCGCGGCACCTTTGAACGCCGCGGGAAGCAACCACTCTAGCCCGGCGCAAAGTCCGATCGCCGCTGCCAGGCGACTCCCTAGTCGACCCGGAAGCATCAAAGATGCAGAGATGTGAGTACCGTCGATTGCAAAAGGGCTAGATATAGAAGTCTAGCCTTCTCAAATATGCTCATTCTACATGTGCTCGGCATCCTGTGCAGGTATGGTCACGCTTCGTCCCACACTTCGGCCTCTGGCAGTCCGTACGCATCGCTCAACAGCACGCCCCTCGCAAGCCCGGACGTGATCCGCAAACCATTACCGGTCGGTCTGAAGCGCAGACTCGGTGCTGGCTCTTGAGAGTGTGGGATGGATCACAGGCCACTTTGCATCGCCCTTCTTCGCACCATCGACTGCGCTGAATCATGACCTTCACGCGCACGCTGACTTTGTCGTACTTGACGCCAACGATTGTTTGACCTTCGCCACTCGTTCTTTGCGAATGTCCGCTACTAGCTTCTTGTCACGTCAGAATTCCAAGTGACAGCGTTCTGTTCGAATAGTATACCATTCTATCCCTGCGCTACCCACTCGACCTCAACATGCCAATCTTTACTTTCTTTTTACGAATGTTCGCTAGGTCTTTGGCGGAGCAACTCTGCTTGCGCAGGCTGACGCAAGAACGACACTCAAAGCTTACCAGCTTCGATTCCCTGCTCCTTCAGCTTGCTTGCCATCTTGTTGCGCACATGGTCCAAGAATTCGGTTGTGCTGAGGTAGAGAAAGTGTGAGGTGGTGTAAGCGTCTGAGCAAGCAAGGACTGGCCATCTTGCCATCGTACAGAAGCAACCCACGTAACGTAGTGTTTTCTCTCCATCTTTTTGCCATGGATCGCGAGAGCGAGATCCTTGGTCATAACGCCGTCCCTGTCAATGGCCTCTACGCAAGCGGCCTCCAAGCTCTTGGCAAAAGTGATGAGCTCTTGATTACCATCCAACTTGCCTCTGAAGAGCAACCCTCTGGTCCAAGCGTAGATGCTTGCCACGCTGTTCGTCGACGTCTCGTTGCCCTTTTGATGTTCTCGGTAGTGACGCGTCACCGTTCCGTGCGCAGCTTCCGACTCCATTGTCTTTCCGTCTGGCGTGATGAGCTCGGAAGTCATCATACCCAAAGAGCCAAAGCCCTGCGCCAAAATGTCCGATTGGACGTCTCCGTCGTAGTTCTGAACAGCATAGAATGATGCAGGCACAATGCGTGAGCCATCCAAACTACGCGCCAGCTTTGCTGTTGCGCTCTCTGTTGCTCACCTTGCAGGCCCAGACGAATCCTCCTTCACCCTTGATGGCCTGCGCAACCATGTCATCGATAAGTCTGTGCTCGTACCAGAGCTTCTTTTGCTCGAATTGACTCTTGTAATGCTTCTGGTAGATGTCTTCGAAGATATCCTTGAACCTGCCATCGTAGGCCTTTAGAATAGTGTTCTTGGTGCTCATGTACAGGGGCATTCCCTTGTCGAGGGCCATCTTGAAGCTGGCGTGCGCAAAGCCCTCGATCGAGTCCGTCGTGTTGTACATGGCCAGACCCACACCGCCCTTTTCTGGAAAGTTGAAAATGTCCCACGTCTTTTCCTCACCGTCCTCCGCTTTGAAGGTCATTGTGAACTTTCCAGGCTTGTCCACCGCAAAATTTTGACATCTGTACTGGTCTCCAAACGCGTGTCTGCCGATGCAGATCGGCTTGGTCCAGCCCGGAACAGGCCGCGGAATCTTTTCCAAGACGATGGGTTCGCGGAACACAGTGCCTCCCAAGATGTTGCGAATCGTGCCGTTAGGCGAGAGCCACATCTTCTTGAGATTGAACTCCTTTACCCGAGCTTCATCGGGTGTGATAGTAGCGCACTTGATGGCCACGCTGTACTTCTTTGTCGCCTCGGCAGCCTCTACTGTCACTCGGTCCTCGGTCTGCAAAAAAAAACAAAATGCGTCAAGGTCGAGCTAGGATGCGTGTCCTTGCAAGCGCTTCTCTACACTCACAGCATCTCGGTTCTCGATGCTGAGATCGTAGTATTTGATGTCCAAGTCCACATATGGCAGGATAATCTGTCGAAGCCGATCAGCGGGCGTTCCTCGACGATCAACACATGGCAGCTCGAGAGGGGGACCCTTGACAGGATCAGTACAGTTTCAATGACTCACCTCTTCCCTGATCTTGTGCCAGATGATGCGCTGCGAGTAAGTTCCAGCAAAGCAAGGATGAAGTTGTGCATCAATTTCCGTCGTAGTTGCCAGCTCTGATGGTCGCGCCGCTTGTGATTGGTGCGGCGATCGAGGTGCTCACAGTCATCTCGTCTCCATCCATCTCCACCACGGGGTTTGCAACCTTGATCTTGCCTGTGCGTCCGTGCGCCCAGACCAATCCAGTGGAAGACCAAACAGCGGGTGAGCATGCGCATGTGCCATTCGCGAGGGTCGAGTCTCCATCCGAACACTCACGAGGCGCCATGCTGCTAGAAAAAGACCTGATCGAGGCGGCAGAGCCGAGGTGAGAAGCTGATGCTCGTGCGGCGCTCAAAGGAGAGCTGACTGTGCGTTGCGCCAATGATGCGGATTGTCCAGTCGAGCGAAGGTTAGATGAAGGGCGGAGAGTGTGCTGGTGTATGGAGCGGACGGCGGCAAGGTTGAAAACGGGAGAGAGGGACAAGGATGAGCGGGCAAGTGCTCGAGAGAGGGGAGGATGCAAAGTCAAAGAAGACATTTCCCTCGGTGTAGAGAACAGGCACGACGGATTCGTGCTGGAAGAGGTGGTGGAAGAGGGGGGCAAGAGCAAAGGGGAGAAGACGGCTCGGTGATGTTTGGCCGGTCCAACACGTGTGGACTGTACGTGTGGGGTAAGGGGAAGGAGACGTCAATCTGTTGGGGAGGCAAGGGAGCTGCGTGTTTACATGTATTGGCAGCAAAAGTCGATCTTCTACACACACAACTGTGACTACTGTAGTTGGGGGAGCATTCAATTTAATTCTATTCTAATCACGAATGCAGGAGCAATGGCAATGGCAACGGCAACGGCAACGGCAACGGCTAAGCTAACGACGGTGAGACCGAGCGCACAGCCATGCATGCATCACACAGTCACGAGTCTGAGTCAGTGTAGAGAGAGCGCGAGAGAGAGAGCACACAGCAGCTAGGGCACGCTTGCAGTGCAGCTGGCTGCGTCGAGTCAAGTCTGAATCAGATTCGTGACTTTAGGCTCTGCCGCGGCATCGTCTGCTTCCCCAGCACCACCCCGATCAAGCAGTGTGAGTCAGCTAGGCCACGACATCTCTCGTCTGCCGAACTCGTGGCTGCGACTGCGAG